AAAAAAAATAAATAAATAAAAAGTTTCACACTCTATGACCACATAGCGGTACCATAGCTCCTAACGACATAACCAGTATTTGATATCGAGGCTATTTCTGTGTTCTTCTTCTTGTAAATGTAGTCTGCTAATGTGCCAGACTTCATGGCCTGCTGTTTGTCTGGTCATCTGCTTCCAAAACTTCTGTGCCTCAGTCTTATTATCTGTGAGCTGGAGTTAATGGAAGATCAGAGGGTTAAGGTAAGTGAGCTCAAGAGACAGTGATGAGCATATGGTAGGTGCTTCGCAAACATCAGATGGCCCGAAATGGAAACCTTTGGAAATTGTGGTGTGTTGACAGCCATTGTGATGCTGTTCCCTGGCTGCAGGCTGCACCTGATGCAGGTGGACTCGGTCCAGCGCTGGATGGAGGACCTGAAGCTCATGACCGAATGTGAGTGCATGTGCGTCTTGCAGGCAAAGCCCATCAGCCTGGAGGAAGATGCACAGAGTGACGTCATCCTGGCTGGTGGCCCTGGCCCCGGAGACCCCCTGCAGCTGCTTCTCAAGAGGGGCTGGGTCATTAGCACTGAGCTGCGCAGGATCGGGCAGAAGCTCGCCCAGGACCGCTGGGCACGCGTCCATAGCATGAGTGTGCGTCTCACCTGCCATGCCCGATCCATGGTCAGCGAGTACAGCACTGTCAGCAGGAGCTCCTCACAGGAGATGGGCCAGGTCAGCTGCCCCGGGATGGACATGGGTGGGCACTCGGAAGGGGGATGCCTTCTAGAAGCGTGGGTCCAAAGTGTGTGGAGGTTGAACTTTTCCTGCCCCAGCGCCTCCCTCCACTTCCAAAAAGCAGGGAAGATAGTAAGGACCTTTACTGAGTACCTACCATGTCCTAGGCATCGAGCTAGGTGTTTTCACACACCCATCTCATTTAACCTGCACTAGATGCGAAGCGGACAGAACCACTGCGAGAGGCTGTACGGTGGGGCAGTGCACCCACTTTAATGCCAGACTGTCTGGGATCAAATGTCAGCTCTGCTGTGTGACCTTGGCAAGTTACTTACCTTCTCTGTGCCCCAGTTCCATCACTCTGATGAGTATAATAATAGTGCTTTTTTCATAGATCTGTTGTGAGGACTACCATGTTATTACATGTAAAACATTAAAAACAGTTGCTGAGGGCGCCTGGGTGGCTCAGTTGGTTAAGCGACTGCCTTCGGCTCAGGTCATGATCCTGGAGTCCCG